CTACTTTTTCTAGCTAACCATTTGTTTGTGAAAGTCCCTGTGGCTCTTCAACTGTTTGACAAAGATACACCTTATAAGGGGATGTGTTCTTAAGAATGTGTTAAAAATGTCTTCTGCGAGTGACATCACAGATTGCATTTGTCTCCATAAAGACAGTTATCACACAGACTCTGATTCCTGTGTGTGTGATTTATCTGGTATTAGTAATTGTTTTAGCAGAGTTATGGATTTGGGTTTTTTCCCCTATTATTTTTATTATGGAACATTAAAGATTTTAGGCCATCTCTCCATTTGTTTAGGCATTTATAAGCATGTAGGATGAACACAAAATGGTGTAGGGAAATAATTCTCTTCTAGTAACATGAACATTTAAAACCAGCATGTAACCTGACAGGAAAGCAAATTGACAACAGTTTTCTGTAATTTTTCAGACTCCAGCAAGAGTTTCACTGAATGGGTCAATGTTTACCAGCAACTTTACTGTCATCTTCTTTGGACATGTTTCCTTTCATGACACATTTGCCTTCCTGCAGCTCCATGCCACTGCCAACATCCAGCCTCATCTGGAAATCCATTTCCAGCATTCTTTGCCTTCACTTCATTCTCTGGGGATTGCCAGAGAGAACAAAGTGAAGGTGTCAGCCCTGAGAAGTGATAAGTATAAGGGCATCCTTGGTGTTGTCCTTGGGCCTTGCAGTCTGAAAGCTGATGGAGAAGTGAGCCTGGCAAGCAATGAAACACAATGGGTACTTACTGTCACGAACAAGTGTGTCAGTCTGGAGGTAAGTCCAGATTTTCTGCATGGTCTGTAGTCTGTGATTTCAGATCATGAGTCACAGAGGACTGTCTCCTGACATTGTTATTTAAGGACAGGACAATTTTGGTCATTAAAGTTGTTTTGGCAGAGAAATGAGTTGGAGCATTCACGAGGGAAAGTGTATTTGAAGATGTGAATTTTACAATGGTAGATGTTACCGTTGTTGCCATAAAATAGTTGTTTAATAATAGCTTTTTAATTAAAATAAACTTATGCCCTAGAGTCTAGTGAAAAGCATGTCCTTTCTGTTTGAAACTGTGGAAGTATTTCAGGAGTTAAGTTTCTTTTTCTTCTACATTACTTATAAGAAGGTTGTTGTAGGATTTATTCTTTCCCCCCAATTTATTTTGTTTCTGTTGTTTCACTGACAGATTTCTGATTTCTCTGTGAAACAAACTGTCTTGTATGGTCCTTTCCAAAAGCAGATTGTTTCAGAAAGAAGAAATGCTTTCTCATGAATCAGGAACAAATTAGGAAGACAATTGCTTTACCTTGTGTGTTTTAAATAGTACACTTTTTTCTGTTGCAGGAGGTGGGATTGCCTCGTGCAGTGGTCTTTGGGGGCTCATTTCATCAGAACATCTGCAATGTGGGCTTGTTAATGAACCTCCAGTGTGATGGCAGAACAGTTGATGTGCAGATAGACACATCCTGCCAACACGAATATACACTCCAAGGGATGCTCAGGCACTCACTTCCCTGGCTCAGTCAACTTGGGCTCCCTTTGGAAAACTCTGTCTTGTTCTCTGCAGCCACAGACTCTGCCACAGAGGGCATTTTGTTGCTGCAGGCTGGCAGATGCAGACTTAAGGCTAGAGGAGATCTCTGTATTCAGGATAAAGCTGAATGGACACTGGAAACAGAATCAGAATGTCAACTTCTGCAGGTAGGTCTTGGAGGCTTTTACAGAGAATTTTGGGATCAAATGCAGGCCATATAAGGTTTTAGCTAAAATAACAGTGTTTGTGTTGGACAGGCACTCTAAAGAACACCTGTCTTACAGCACGAGGCCAAAAACGTGTCTCACAGGTCCTGTTCACAGATGTTCTCTCTCAACTAAGATCGGTTCAGTCTTTGCTGTTTGTTGCCTTCGCAGACCGAGACTGCCCTCTAAGGCTCAACAGCAGCATTGGTTTGAACTCTGTCAAAAATATATTCCCTGGTCTGTCTGTTTATACCAAAGTAAAAATGGTGACATTTCCTTGGTTTTTCCATGTAGTCTCATTGACTTCATTGGAAAGAATGACTCTTGCAAAATCAGGGGGTTTTCTAGATGTTCACAGGCATTTATGTTTTGCTTTCAAATCCCCACATTGAGTAACTTCCTCAACTACAACATAGCAACATAACAATAAAAGTGACAGGACCCTGAGTATCATCCATAGTGAAGAGGGAATGAAAACCTCTTAAAGTATTAAAAATAGTAGAATTTTCTGTGGTTTTGCAAATCCTTTGCAAGAATGAGCAGAAACATTTAATTGGGGATGCTGCACAAGACAAGTTTGAAGTTTTAGTATTAAAAAAAAAAAAATTCTTGTACCACCAGATGCAAGAATGTCTGTTAGGCCTATTATTTTTTGTGGTTTAATTTGAAAATTGAGATTTGTCTAGGCTGAATGAAGCAGTGAATGTTCAGTAAACTTTTCCAGTCTGAAGAAACAGATATTTTGTATTTTTGTAAATGGAAAACTTCATAAAGATACAGAAGTTGTAAATTCTGCAGAACAGCCCTAAAATCTTCCCTCAGGCCTTATTCAGGCAAAATCCCAATCTTTCTTGTTGAGAGAGAGAAAAATGGCAGCATGGAGATTGTAGGTTTTGTCTCTGATACTGTGACATAAAATCTCCATTCTTGTATGCTGAGGGAGAAGAAAAAAGCCTTAATACACACCTGTATTAAAGTGTATGTATATTCCAAAGGAATTCTCGTTTTTAAATTTCAATAGGATCTCAGTTTCCCAACTCAGTCACGGCTCACAGGATCCATTCAGAAAGACAAGTGCCAAGCAGAGCTTCTCTCTGTCCTGGAAACAGAAGGCAAAACTGCCCATCTTGAAGTGAGAGCAGAGTGCAAGCCAAAGATTACACTGGAAATTCAGTTCAGGCATGACCTCCCCCAGCTGAAGGAAATCCCAAGGGAAAATGAGCTGTCCATCACTGCACGGAAACAGCCGAAATATTTTCTTGGAATAGGAATGAAAGTGGGTGCTTGTGAGCTTCAAATGAATGGGGATTTTGATCCTGAAAAGAAGCTTCAGTGGAAAATGCTTATAGAAAATAAATGCCAAACAATTCAGGTATTGGAAAGAATTTATTGCTTTACTACTGCATTTGTGCATCTAAAGCAGGATCTTTGTACCCACCAAAGTTAAAAGACAATAGTCTAAGGATTTCAGTGGTAGCAGAGAAAAGTAAAACATTATCTTCTTTTAGTGTTACATCTTACCTCTAGAGCCAGTTATTCACTCTATTTTCATATGGTGCAAGGCAGATTTCCTATTAATCAGAAGTTAATGGACTTGCTTGTACTAACTCTGATGTGGTTTTTTTTAAAGCATGGTTTTAAAGCAGGGCTTTAATCTTCAGAAATAAAAAGTATTCAAAGTTCTCTTGGGCTTTATCAGCAGTAACAGTTTCTCAGCAGTTTGACAACCAAACTCTGAAATAGTTTGAAAATATATGAAGTAAATAGATAATCTTCAGATCAGAAAATTGAGTGTATAGAAAGTTTGAGAAAGATGTTATCACAGAATAATCTGTAGTTTCATTATACAAGCCAGAGTAAATCTGAATATACATAGATGATATTCACCTGCCTTCTTCCAAAAACAGAACTACCATAATAAACCTTTGAATACTGTTTGGTTTCATTGGAATTATGGATGCTTTGGGCCACTGGAGCAATTCCAAGCATAGAAAACTGAATTTTCAGTTAGGCAGGAAGAGCTGCCATGTTGTCCTGTGTTCTATTTTTGCTGGCTCATTTATCAAAAATCATTGGACATATTAAAATTAAAAAAGACAAACTGTAAAAAATATAACAAAAAGCTGTCAAGATTCCTGAGGCATCCTATGGCTATGCTGCCTGATATATCTCATTTTACAGCTAGGTACTATTAAAGCTACTATTAGGAACTAAAAGTTTCAGGGGTTAGGTATTTATGTGGGTGAGCGTAAAAGTGGTGAATTTTAAATTTTTTTTTTTCTTTTACAGGATCTTGGAGCACCAGTGAAAATTGATGGGTCAGGCTACATTTTGATGGATAAAATGAACCTGGATTCACAGACATTGATCACTGTTGACGAAAGTAAATTCCAAGGACTCCTGATACTCAAAATCACTGATGTAAGTATCCTACAGGCTGTCAGACTGCATGTAGAAATTACTGAGTAATGTACTCTAGACTATTTTATTGGGAACAAAGAGTCAGCTTTTAGTAATAAATGCCAGAATAAAAATAAAATAAAATCTTTGAAAATCTGGCACCTGTAATGTGCAGTAACAAATATACTGGATAAGAGGATCCAGGCTCTGGCACTTCCTGAATCAATTCCTAGTTATTCTCTTTGTAAATTTGTTGTTTGCATTGTATTATTTGATGTTCCTTGTGTCACTGTGACTTACATTGCAAAATAATAGGCAGGGATTAATTGAGCCCCTGCTGTTTATTTAAGTAAGACAGTAGCACAAGAAAGGCTGTGAGTCTCTTGCTTTCCTGTTGACAGTTAAAAGTTTGGCTTTTCTTGTCATCAGTGTAAGAGAGTAGAGAACACATAAAAGCGTCTTATTCTTTGTGATCATTCACTTTCTTAACATAACTGGTAATTTCTGCATGTTTCTACCACAGAGAAACAAGATAGCTAGTGAGAGTTCTTTGCTACCAGAGAGAAACATTTACACCTTTTTTCCTCTCAGCTGAAATATATATATATTTTTTTTATCCTACCTAGGCTTGATGTTTCTTTTCTCTTTCCCTAAGTGTAATTTCCCTAAGTTCAATGCAATTTATTTTAATTAATATTAAATGTAGGACAGAGAGATTTGTTAAATTTCTGGTTTGAGCTCTGTGTTGCAGCAAGCTTTGGGTTCTACATGTGCTTTGCTATCTATGCTGTGAAATATTAACAGGAAAGGCAAGAGCTGGATGCAGTGCTAACCCACGACATTCCAGGAGCTGCTGACATTGGCATTCCTATGAAGATGTTAATTGATGTGATATCAGAAAAAAACAGTGACTTCTATAAAAGATTTATTCATTTCTGTGTGAACAGCAAGCAAGTAAGTGTCTCTTCCATGTTAGTGAGATGTGAAATAGAGGTTGAAGTGAGCTAATTGATTTGGTAAATATTGTTTCTCCATTTGAGATAGCTGTGCGTGAGGCCCCTATAGGAATACCCTGCAGGGGCTGGTTTGGTTTTAAAGGCCTTAATTAAATGAAGGTCGTATCTTCCAGCCATTCTTTCTGTGCAGTCACTCCTACAAACAAATATGACAGCAGCAATGATCCATGATTCCCACTGGCAAATTGTGTCAAACTTTCTTATCCATTATCTTCACTTGGTGCAACTCAGTCCCTTTTACAGTACAATTCTTCACCATAAAGTTTTCCTCATTTTCATAGTTTTACTCTAATGTGTACAATAATTATAATTAATCAGAGAAATCTCAATATCAGAGATGTGCCACAGTTAACTTTTGTCATATTTACTTGGACTGAACAGATTACGGAAGAACTGAACTTTGTCCAGAAGTTGGGTGTTGTGTCTCTTAACTACAAACTCACTCATAACTTAGAGGTGCTGAAGACTTTGCAAATAAAAGACAGGATTGAGCTGCAGGTAAGTTACCAGGCAATGGCAGGGGAGACACAAATCCAGCCTGGAATGATGCCCTGATGGAAGCAGCAGCTGTAAAAGCGAGATGGCAAAGGACAGCGGGTGCAGATGGGATTTTACATGTTTGCTCTTTAGGTGAAGAGGGGAGTCTGGCTGCTCACTTTGTTTGTTCTTGAGGAGAGTCCAGAAGCTCAGCTTGCTCCTGAGGGGTTGGGATAATGCCTTGCTAGACCAGAACTTCCCATGGGACTGAGAGACTGGAGGTTGGCTGCCATGTGGGAGCAGCCCAAGCCCAGCTGGGCTGGCAGCCTGCCCTGCCTGAGGAGGGCAGTGCAGTTCAGCTCCTGTGCCTCCTCTGTCCCTTCTACAGACTGGGCAGAGGTGAGTTCTGGTGGGATTGCACTGTTGACATTCCAAATGGTATTTTCCTCCCAAGCTCTGGTTACCTGGCATGTTTCTTTATCTGAGAAACACAAACCTGCAACACAACACTTACTCTTTATTAATCATGTAACTGCTTGAATAGCATTAAGGCATGGCCATACTGGAGAATACATGTTAAAATGCTGAATTTAAAAATAAAAGGGACATCTGTAACTATGTTGTGTTATAAAATTGCACAAGATGAATTTTTTGACACGTTTGAGATGACACTGCCTCAGATAAAGAAAGAACCCTGACCAACAGGAGCTTTAACTTTTATTAAACTGTCTTTTCACAATTTACCTTTGTTGCACACAGGCTATCTTGAACCTGGAAGTCACCAAGAGCTTTAGTATGAAAGTGCTTTATGGTCCTCACCTAACAGTACTTGAAGGACAAATCCAGGAGTTTGAAACAAGTACCAACATAACAGGGAATTTCCATCACACTTTGCCATGGCTGCTACAAGCCAGAGTCCCACCATCTTTGCAGGTAGTTTTGGTTTGGCTTTTTTTTTTTTTACATAATTATTATCCTTTATTATGATGTAGTAGCCAATGGTTTGAATAAAAACTACCATTTTGTGAGGTACAGGATGGAAGCTGGGATTTTCTGATATTTAAAAACTATGGAGAGCTAAAACCTGACATACTGAAAAAGAAAATTTCTTACTGATTGCTTTCTGAACCAGAGTATTTCATTCTGATCAGTGTCAGTATAAAGTATCCTTTATATAAAGGGAGTCATATGTTTGTGGGATAAAAGAGATGTGGTTTGAAATTCATTCAGTCGAATGGACTTTGTACTGGAAAGTCATAGATGATTAATGAAAGGCTAAGATATGTTTTGTTAATGGATAGATTTTTAACATAATTATAGACTAGAGTGAACTTCCTTTCACTTCCATTTGTCTCCTGTTTTAAAATTAAATAGTATTTAAATGTTGTTTGGAGAACTTATGTCTACGTGTCATTTTTTAGATAGATGTGGTTTTTCAAGGGAGAAACACTACTCAAGAAAGATATGTGCATATTGCAGCTGGAGAAACATCAATCACATACATAATAAACTCCTATTATGTTGGTCACCAAGTGGATATCTTCTGCCAAAGTGTACACAGCAGTGAGGTACTCCAGGCAGCTGGTTATCCTAAGGCAATCAACTTGATTCTCAGCTTACAGGAATCAGGTAGGTACCTGCCATCCCTGGCAGGTTTTTTGTTCTATAATAGCTCTCTGAGGATGTTTCAACTCTTCCTTCAACAGGTGCAAACTGACTAAGACCTAAAAAGAGGTTTTCTCTTCTTTGTAAGTAAAATTGTCATTCTGAAACTGCATCTGTGATTAGTTACATTACATGTTTTTTTAGCTCCAGGGAAGATCTCATGTGGTACAACACCTGGTAAAACAGGTTATCCCTGAGATATTTACCTCCATAAAATAAGATTCCAGTATCACACAAAAAAAACTTGTTACACAGTACAAAAAATGTGAATTCCACTGTAGTTTAAAGTAGTCTTTGAAATAATTCTAAGTGGCTTTTGTTGTCTGAACTGTGGAGGGGAGACACACCCACCCTGATGAAGCCAGTCTCCTCTGAAAACTTGGCCTGGCATAAATCCTCTCTCCGTATCACTCAACTGCAGATTTACACTGTGGTCTGTGTGATTTTGTCTTCTCCATGAAGGGTTTGGGGGTTTCACATCTCTCATCTCACTTTTATCTTGCAGGAGTCTGTAATTTTCTTTTTCAAAAATGAAAAGCTTGTAGGAAAGTGGGGAAAGGGCCTTCAGGTCATGTTGTTTGAGCAGTGTTGGGTTGCTGTAGCTGGAACCAGAGGAGTCACTAGAGGTCAGAACAGCTCAGAGCTCTTCTCTGGAAGTGGCTGCTACTTGCCACAGGCAGCAGTTGGCTGTGGGAACTAGTCAGCTCTCCTGCAAAAAAACATGATTGATGGGAACCGACCTGACACTTTACCTTATCCTGGGTACACAAGCTCTGTTACCTCAAGACTTTGTAAGGTCAAGGCTCAAGGAAATCCAAAAAACCTCTACACTCCTCCAGTCACAGGCCAAAGCTCTTGTAATCCCGAATGATGACCCAAATGCTGGCTGGATTGATTCTATGCAGGCAGTACTGAAAGTCCTCAAAAACATGCCACTCAAATTGGCACTGTCCTGTTCTTTCTATATAGAAAACAAAGCCAAGACTGTCTGTGAAATCCAATGTGATGAGAAAGATATAACTGTGACTGTGGATGTTGGCACAGACTTTCAGCTCTTTGGTGTATTTGTGTTCATGGCAGAGGTGAAGCATTCCATATCACTTCTCCATCATCTGGGACTTCCCTTCTTTCTTAAGGTAATCCACCATAGATCTTTTGCTGTGCTTTGATTAGAGCTGTCATTTGAGTTACATGAATCCAGAGCACCTCCAGGGGCCTCAGTGAAATTACTCCAGGTTTATACAAGTGCAGATGAGAAGTGACTTGCCCAGTTTATCTGAATCCTCCTTTAACTTAAGTGCACAGCTAGTGGTCTGTTTCCAAGGAAACCGGTCAGGTACCTGAAATTCCCAGCTTCAGGGTTCATCATTTCAGGAAAGCATGCATTTACTGTCACCTTCTAGCTGATAAGCTAACCTCCACTTCAAATAGCAAGATACATAGTTAGGATACAAAATTAAAGGTTGCCTTTCCTGAACATAAATATTAGACCAATATTAAACCTTCATATTAAGTACCAGTGTTTCAAGTGAATATTTAATGCCAACATTTTATTGAAAAGTATTAGATATATCCCCTGCTTCTTCCCCCGTAATATTTAGTGAAGTGTCTTTTATCCTCCAAATGTTTCAACGAAGAAAAGAAGAGCAGGGATAGTAATTCTTGAGGTGCCTTATTCATGTATGAGGTATGACTGTAATCATGGGACTTCAGAAATTATTGTTCTCACAAAATCTGGCAAATGTGTTGATATTTAAATGTCCTGATCTTCCCCAGAGGGATTCCGTAGCATTTTCAGGATAAAGCTATAGATGATCCAGGAGCTGTGGGAGGAAGAAAATACCCTGGAGCAAAAGATTTGTGGAGCCCAATCTGTTTCTTCAAAAAAAAATAATTCTTTATAGTATATGAAAAAGGAGACTGGGGGAGACATGAACTAGAAACAGTGGCTTTAGACTTAAAGCAGATAAGGATACATGGAAAGTAAGGCTAATATTTATCAATAATGCAAATTAGTAGCTATGGAAACACACAGAAGAAACGGAAAACATCTCTTGAGGTTTTTGGTTTACATCCAGAAAGCATCTAGAAGGCCTGTCTGGAAGATAAACTTCAGTCGAGATGGTGATTTTAAGTGAGTCAAGAGGTTGTGCTCAGTCGAGGTGAAATGTTGGGGTAGAGGTTATGGCATGTCATTTGTTTATTTTCCCCCTCCACAGGTGACAATTCAGGAAGTCCTGACTGAAAATGAAACTGCAGGAGCTCTGAGGCTGACCTATGAACAAAACACAAACTTCTCCTTTGCCATCAGTAGGAAAAAAGACCAGCAAGGGTAAAAGAGTCATTCTGAGCGTTGTAAAAATGTCATTAGGCCACTGTGATTCCATGGAAAAAAGTTACTGTTTGAATCACCAAATCACTGGTGAAATGGATAACAAATCTTGGATAAAGTGAGTAGTCACACCAAACAGTCTGTTCACCTCAGGAAGTTTATGAAGGGCTGCAGATTCCTCACAGCTTGGGGTATGCCTGTCTCTTTGCCTGCCCCCACAGCATCAGAGTAGCAGACAGTGAAATAATCCATAAAACTCTAGGTTTGAGCCAGACAAGTACTTAAAAATATACCTTAAGTCGACATAACTGTTTAAATCTTCTTAAATCTTTTTGGGACCATTGAAACTTGTAAAATTACAGAGACTTGGTTTTCTAAGTTGGAATCAGTATGGGTGTATCTGCACAAAACTGTAGGATTTTGAGGATGTTTTAAGAGGTGTGATATTTTCAGCCTTGGGGTATTTCAGATATTTCTTGATTTTCTAGCAAAAGACCTTTGCATTGAAAAGTCTTTTAAGTTCTTCTAAACTCTCTAATAGTTCTAAGTTTGTAAACTATGACAGTGCCTGCAAAGTCAGATTACAAAGTACCTATACAAATTTTAAAAAACTGATGCATTTTCTATGGCAGAGTAATTTCTGTTTCAGTGGGCTACATTCTGCCCCTGGGATGCACACAGATTTTTCGCTGAGGTCAAAGGTGCTCTTTGGTCTCCTCTACCTTTGTGTGAATGCATCAAAAACTGGGAGCTGGGTGAATGTTCAGTGGAAGGTACTGCCATTTGTAACTCTGAAACCTGTGGCGGACTTGGAGTAACTCAGATGAACTTGTGCTGCCAGTGAGAGTGTACTTCCTGAAATATTGTTGAACAAAAGTACATTTCTTCCCTTTAGTGAAGAGTTGAATATAAAAGCACTCCAGACTCATCCCTTCTTTCTACAGTACTTCCCCAGTGCAGCAGAAGTGTCTTCTAAGGTAACTATCTGCAAGTTATCTATCACATACATCACTGCAAATTAGACTTGTCTAATATTTTAGGAGTCAAGCTGCATTATGTCTAGTACTAGTAACTCTGACATCTTTGTTGTTGTCGAGGATGTTCACGTTTTCAGAGATCCTAACGATCTTTCTTTCCCTTTTTTTTTAATTTAATGGGAACTTGAAAAGGTAAATTATGATATGAGTGAAGCAAAAGGCAAACTCTGCCTCAGGATGGAAAAAAGAGATTTCAATGTCACAGCGAAGCTCACTTTGACTGGAACCAGCTACACGAATGCTCTTGAAATAGTACAGACCATGTCCCAGGTTGGTATCATTGACTCTGAGGGCAAACCCAGGCTGTGACTGCCCTGTTTTAGAGAGGGGTGTTCAGGGTGTGGTTGCCAAACACTCAGGGTCAAATACAGCTCCTGCTGTGTGATGTGTTTTGCCCTTGATTTCTCCAGTAGCTTGAGCAAACATTTGACTGCAGATTGGTTGTGAGTCCAATGGTATAAATTTCTGCTTGATTTTATATTTGTTTGCTCCTATAGATGGAGCACATATATAGGATTTATAGGAAATCAGAAAAATAATATATTACAAACTGACCAATTGCCAATTTTTATTACGCAGATACCACACATTTCTTTTTCTAAATAAGGAAGAAAAGATGTCACAAATAGATATTGTTGTTTGTGTTATCTTCTAGATTTATTCTGTAAGAGTGGAACTCTGGATGTTGTAAAAATTATACTGAGAGGAAAGAGAAAATCAAATTGTATATTAAGCAGACTTTTGTAAAGGGGACACTCAGTTGTTCCATTGTGTGAAAAGATGACTTACTGTGGAAATGAAGACAAGTAGAAATGAATAGCTGCTTATACAAGAGCAAGGCTTAGAGTATCATTGTACTTTTAAAAACACATTCCTAAAACTAGACCCTACAGGACTTTATAGTACCAAAATTACACTTAGATTTTTAACTTCTCAGAGAAATTGGGATTTAATGTTTCCTCTCTTTCATTTTTAGTTAAAAATGGTTCCAAGGCAGCTTGTGTTAATGACTGTTTACCAAAAGGGCAACAGGACACATATGCTGAGGCACATTGCTCTGTGGGATGGCAAAGAGATAAAGGTAACAGGCACTTACACTGGACTCTTCCCAAAGTTGCCTGGAGGTCACAACATTCAGGGTAGGTTTCTTAAGTCTTTTGCCAGTGTTGGTAGCAAACTATAAAATAAAACAAACTACATAAATTTGATTTCAAAATGCATATTCAAAATGCATGTCCAAATGGTTTCAATCCTGGTTCCAACATAGTTCTAAGATCTTATCTGCTTTAAATTCATTGTAATCTGGCTGTTAGAAACATCTACTTCAGAATACTATTTCTGCTTTGTGGATGTGGAACATAAAACTTATATAAACTTTTTAAAACTGTAGTAGATTCTGGTACTCTACTGCACTGGGTACTGAAGGGAGCACTGATCACACTGGCCACTACTTTGTTGAGGCTTTGTTATCTGAAAATAAAGAAAAAAACCTGCATTTACTTATTTGAGATGTTCCTCTTCCAGTGTAAGGCATTCTCAGCTTCAAGCAGGTTATTTTCCTGGCTGTTCTTGCTGCTTTGGGTGTAGCTATCAATCTTTTGATTATTGCAGGTAAATGCTGTTTAGCTGTTAGATAGAAGGCTCCTGTTTTCACTTGCATTTACTCATACTGAGCAGAAATCAGCACAGTGCAGTCATTTGGGCTGTTGGGAAGGTGATGTGTGTGTATGAGCAAAGACATTGCTTCTCTGGGAACCAACTGCTGCCCTGCTGTCAGTGAGAGAATATGTCCTAATGCCTTTTTCTTTATCAGAAAATGAAGAGTCATGATCTGTGGTGGGGAAATCTTACTTGTTTGCTTTTTTTCCTTGTAGTGGAACTTCTCCATCCTCTCTCCATCCCTCTCCCACGGCATGCCAGGGTCAACTTATATGTGAAACATTCGGCACGTCATCACCGGGATGATCTTACTGTCATTTGGAATGAGGAGGACCAGGTACAGCAGCCCAGAGCAAATAAATGTCAGGAATATCAAATGGTTCTGCTTTTCTTTTTTTCTGTTTTTTTTTTTTTTTTTTTTTAAACTTATTAAACAAGCCAGGGAATTCAAGCAGGAGGCAAACTATCCTCCTTCTTGGATATGTAAAAGGCTCCAACTATGGAAGATGAGCAGCTGATATGCTTGTTGAAAACATTTTCAGACCATACTAATTTTTTTATTTGCAGTAAACCCACAACTTGGTGCTTAACCCAAGGCAATGAAGTGGATGTGCTTCAAAGCAGTGGGTAAAGGCCTTTGAGAGTGAGTGGAAAGAATAGTACAAACATCATGTTTAAAGCAGCATAGAGGAAAAGAAACAGAATTTAAGACAAATGAGTAAGAGTGAGCATTACTGTGAGGCTGTTATACCCTGTTGGATGGGTATAATATTGTGTTTGCCCACACAGAAGCGTGACACATACCTGTACTTGGTAGTTTCAGCTTTACTGATGTAGTCAAAGCTTTTTTGTATTTCACTCCTCTAATTAGTGAGAATGACAAATATGGCACAGTTGAAACCAGTCTTTGTCTTCTTAAATTAAGTCAGCATTATTTTTGAAAAATATAAATAGTAAAAATGACAGAACCAGGAGAACTTGGGTTAGGTTGATTGCCAGGTGTGGTTAAATGGGGACACTTACTGATTTGCTGCTAACTGTGTTATCTGTGTATGTGTGTCTGAAATGCAGCACCTTGGCTGGGTACTACATTGTTTTCTGAAAATGGAAAGATAAAAGACAATATGTAAAACACATTAACATATAGAATGTTTTTTCTTGTACTTTGATGTGCTTTGACTATGCAAGCTGTTTCTAAGCACTCTGTGGCAGTGCAGCCTGCAGTGCCTAAAGATGAGACCAAAATTAAGCCTCAACAAACTTAAGCATTGTTCATGGTTTTAGTAAAACACAGAGAATAGTTTTCATTTCACCTGTGCCATGTAATTCAAGTAGCAGGAATGTCCTCATTTGAACATTAATTTGCCTCACTACTTCAAAAAGAACTTTATTAGGCACATAATTCATCTGAGGAAAAGGTACAGGGAAATCGTACTGGGTGTGTGTTTGAGTTCAGTATGTGAGAGGTGTTTTATTTCACAAGTTCCTTTTACATCTGTTGCTATGGATCAGATATCACTGTCATCTTCTCTGAAGTTTGGAAGACACCGGACAAACTACAGAGCCACTGTTGCCCACCCATTTAATTACACCCTGAAGCAACTGGAGATCCATTCCCTGTCAGAAAGAAGGGGCAGAAAGTACAACCAGCAGGTGAGAGCATGAGAAAGGGCTGCAAAATACACACCTGTCATGCTGCATTTACTGTTAGTGTGCCTTTCATCTCTGAGAATGGCAGAACCAGATATCACCCTGAAAAATGTAAAGAGAACCAAGGGCTATTTTCTCCTTTCTCCTTCTCCAAACCACCAGCATTGTTTCCTTTTCTAAGCATAACTGCTTTTGACTGACAGTCTTGCACTTTTAGCATTGACCCATTTTTGGTGGTAGGAAGCCAGAAGTGCACAGGGGGCAGCCTAGCAGTGAAAATCAGGCAAATTTTCTCCACAAAGAAGTGAACAAATTTCTAGTGCACATACTCCAAAACCTTCAAACAAACAACCTCCCCCAAAAAAACCCCCACAACAAAACCTAACCAGAAACCCTTTGATACCCTTGTGGAGCAAACATAAATTTTTGGACTGTATGGAAAATTGCCACACAAGTGTGAAAAAATACGCAAGACTAGAAAGGCTTTAAAATACAATTATGAGTGCACTTGCAAAGCATATGTAAGGAAAAAGAGCAGGAGGAACTCCACAAATCATCCTTCAAGATCAGAGACTGTAGTTGTATTTTCTGTCTGAAAATGCACTTCATGAATCAGGGCACTCCAGTTGCTGAGGCTGAAGATTTTCTGCTCAGTAATGAGCTGTGCCAACTGTGCAGTGTTGTTTGTTGATCTGGAACCCTTTGGTGCTCTTGGGTGCTTTGCACTAAGTACTCAGTACCTCTCAAGAATCTTATTCAGAGGAATAAATTCTCTCGTAGGGTCATTATTCCAGTGGTGTCATTATTGGCTGTGCACGACAGACCCCAGGCAGCTTCCAGAGAAGGCAAAAAAATACTTGCACTGCCTCGGTTGCAGCAGCGCAGTTTCCCTGTGCTGGTCTCCAGGCCACAGAGCCTGTTGCAGTTTTCATTGTGGTTCTGTTTTTCTCCACTGGATGGGGATCATTCTGCTGGATCACCCTGCAGCTCTTCTGTTTGTTCAAGTCCTTCTCTTTGGTTTCAGCTGCAGCTGGCAGGGAATGCTGGGCAGCCTGCTGACATCCGACTGACCCTGGAGGATAAATCCAAGGTGGACATCACTGCCTGGGGGGGCTGTGTGACACTCTCTGCAGGCCAGGTAGACTCTCAGAAGGGAGGGGTTTGGTTTTTTTTTTCTGCACTCGTTACCATGTGAAAGCCTTTTACTTGAAGTCAATCTTTTTGTGTCTCAGAGGGAGAAAAATGAACCCTCTGAAGAATTCAGTTTCAAGTTGCCAGATGTGGTTTTATTGGGGCTGCAGCTTTCCCTCAGGACAGAATTGTCAACCCCTCAGGTTTCCTGGCAGAGGTTGAAGCAGTGTTTTATGGATATAGACCATTCAGAGGTTCTCACAGGGGTGTATTTTTGCCCAGGAAATGTACTGCCCTAGGATACACTGAACTTTTTTTTTTTTTAATTAATTATATGTGTCGATTTTTTTTCCTCTTATCCAGCTTCAGAGAATATTAAGTATGGAACACCTGCATGCATGTGGATCTCTAGAGCAAAGATCAACACTGTTTAATGAATATCTAGATCTGAATTGGGATGACAAAAAAATCAAACACAATTTAACATATGAGGTAAGAGAAGGCAGTTGTATCTGTTAACTCACCATTTTTATGAAAGCTGTTCTTAACAGATGAGAAATTATTTAGGTTTTAGGCGTAATGTTGCATGGATTTTAAGAAAGCTTCTGTAGAGTCCCATTTTCTGTGAAATATCAATATTTGACTTTATCTTTTACATATTTCTCTACATAAGAAGAAAGATAAATGTAGCATATTAAAGAAAGAAAGAGTTTTTACCAACTAGAAGCCTCACTTGTGCTCTAAATTTGCAAAACTTTAGAGTTAATTCTGAAGGACGGGAACCAGAAACAAGGCTGATGATCTAAAACACTGTCAAGTGGAAATGTTATGTTTCAGAAACGTTACATTAAAATCCTGAAGCTACTAGAATAACAAAAGCCAGCACAGGGACAGGGTGAGTGGGCACACAGGAGTGTCTAAGATCCTGTTGTCATATTTTAACTTTGTTTTCTTGGTTCATTGCAGAGAAATCAATTCTCGTATCCTGATAAATTCCAGTTAGAAGCTGTCCTAGAAAATATTTTCCTGACCCCATGCACCAAACAGAAGATTCTGGGTAAAATAGAAACAAACTACTGCTCTTCCCTGGATCATTATACAAGCTTTGAGTTCTGTGACCTTCCAAATGTAAGTCTCAGATAAACATACTGAACCTACTTCACTTTAAATGTAATTACTGTTTTGGAGACTCAGTTTTCCTCAGCTGCAACTCTTCATGAGAATTGCCATGCTTCTGTGACCTAAATAAACAAACAGTGTCTTTTGATGGGCTGAGGCAGAAAGGTTCTGTTTGCCATTGTAGTATATTCTATAGGCCCTGTTGTGAGTGTAAAGATTCCCACTTCCTCCATGTTCTTTCTCTCCTATTCCTCTTTCAAAGGTCTTTTAATTTCATGTTTCTGGAGAATATCAAAACAGGCTCATAAGTGATCAAAAAGGAAACTAGAGAGCAATAAAAGTGCTTTCCTTCCCCGGTGGGTAAATGTTTACTGGTTTTTATGATTGCTCTGCTGGTAGTGATGGATTTTTGAACTTTAATGTAACCTTTATTTCTGTTAAACACATACAATGAAGACCGATCCATGATCTTCCTTAGCTGCACACTGGACCTCTGAGTTGCCTATAGATATTCACAGCAAACACAAAAACTGGAACTTGCAAAAAATGTCTTCATTTACATACGTTTCAGTTCCCAGTGGCTAAAACACGTCCCAGTTTCCAGCAGGTCATACTCTGTTAGCAAGGGGAAACAGAAGCCAAATTTTGATGCCTGTGAAAACTTCTTCCAAGACTAAGGTGTGATAGAGCCTGTTTATAATGCAAAGAATGTATATGTATGTCACTTCAAAATCAGGTGCCTCTGTATTCTTTTAGATCCTTCTTTTTCAAAGGCATCATGGTTTAAGCTCAGCTAGAAATTAAGCACCAAGCAGCTGCTCTCTCAACCCCTCTCTCTCTCCCCACCAGCCCCGTAGAATGGGGAGGAGAATCAAAGTAAAACTTGTAGGCTAAGATAAAAACAGTTTAATAATTGAAAACAAAGTAAAATACAACAATAATGGTAAATAATAATAATGATAATAAAAAGGGAAAGGAAAAAAAACCCAACCAGGTGATGCACAATGCAATTGCTCACCACCTGCTTGCTGATGCCAGACCCCCTTCCTAAATCCAGATCGGCCCCTTCCAGGTAACTCCCACAGTTTATATACTGGGCATGACATTCTGTGGTGTGGAATATCCCTCTGGTCATTTCAAGTCACCTCTCCCAGTTGTGCTCCCTCCCAGTTTCTTTTGTGCACTTCCTCACTAGCAGACAAAAAAAAAAAAAAAAAAAGTCCTTGACTTTTGATAAACAGGATTTAACATACTGATGTTTTGGGTTTTGCTATCCATACTATTCTCATTCTGAATCCAAAACACAACAGTGCACCAGCTACTGAGGAGAAATTAACTCTATCCCAGTCAAACCCAGGACAAATATCCACCTCACCTCCCACACCCCCCCAACTTTATCAAAATGCCTAGCCAGAGTTGCTGAGAAGCACAGGAGCAAAAAAAGTGGATGTTTTAACAAAATATAGTTTCCAACTGTTCCTGTGGTCTTTGGCTGCAATCACTAATGTATTTTTTTATACACCAGAAACTGAAGATGTAACAAAGTGAGACAGTGTGAGGAGGAAGATGTGCTGGTTTCTGAAACTACAAGTTTTGTTCATCTCTTCATTGTGTAAATTCCAGGAGAATGCTACCACTGCACAACTTCTATGCAGAGCCCATGTTTGGAAGAATTAAGTTTTAACATCCTTTTTTTTGTGCATACTTAGGTAATTGTTTTATCTGGAAAACACCAGCTCAATAAAGATAACATCATTTTGCAGTCAGAGAGCAGATGCCACCTTGGTGATCACAGGACAGATGGGGGGTTGATTGGAGTATCCATAAAGAATCAGAGCACTGCTGATGTGAAGAACTATTCTATGGAAATTGATGTGAGTTTTTATTTTATTTTAGTGGCACTGGGTTTTGGTTTTTAAAGGCCTGCTGCCATCTATCTCCCAAGCGGATCAGGTGCAACCAGTGACTGTAAAACAGCAGGCAGCTTAAAATATTCCTGGTTTCTCTAGTTCTGTTTATAAAGGAGCAGTTACATAATGTCCATGTGGTGTGATCGAGAGAGGAAGGCACCAACATCAGTTATCTGCAGAGCTCAGGCCCAAATATAATAAGTGTGTATCAAGGGAGTATATCAGTTTTAAGAGGCTGTGTGTTTTTATAGGTCACCTTCAGCATGACTGGTCTGTTTGGTGAGGCTTGGTTTTTTCACCTTATCAAAAAAAGAAAAGAGGGAAACAAAATACAATACTTACAGAAAGCATCATTTACCAGAAAAAAGAACTGGCCTTAAAAGGGCACAGAAAGGCTCATATGATGCTCATCTGTGGCAAATCTCTTCCTTTTACCCTCTGTTTCACATTTGCTTTTAATTTCCTGTGAAATAAATAGGGTGGAGAAGCTGGTGGTGGAAACAGAGTGAGGTAGAAAAGTAACATGTTCAGCACCAACCAAACTCTTCAGTAGCAGGAATGTGGGTACTCAGGCTTTCATTGCTACCAGTAAAACTTTGTCCAGGAGCCTCGTGCTATCCAGTCATTCAGCTCCTGAGCTGATGCTTGTGCCTCTCTTAGTGAACTCCTGCACAGTGCACAAACATTGGGAAACACTTCCCTCACCACTTACTGTTCTGTGGGAAGCACTGATATTCGAGCATCGTCTCTGAACAATCATTTAATTCTGTGTTGTGGCTTTGAATAAACGTTTTTCCTTTATGGCTGCAGTTAAGAGCCTTTGAAGATATTTGGCTAGGCCTGGCAGGAACTGCTACTTCCTCATCTGTCCAGAGCCAAATCCTGGTGGAGGGGAATATTGATCAGAAAGAGAAAGTAAAAGTAGCAGCTTCAAAAGGAAAGGAGTGCATTCAGTACTACCTGGGGTATCTGAAAGGTATGTACCTTCACTGACAATGCTTGTAGCCACATGATTTAGTTTTAGGTAATCCTACAAGGAGCAGGCAGCTGCACTTGGTGATCCTTATGGGTCCCTTCCAACTGGAGCTATTCTGTGATTCCCAGCTGTCATTGCTGTGAAGAAGCTGGATGAAAGGCTGTGTCTCTAGTGCCAAGCTGGGTCAGTTCATGGTGACTCAAGGTCTTTCAGATTAAAAAAAAGCTGAAACTTAAAACTTGTTACACAAAGGTCAGTTTGAGAGACGTTTTGGTTTCAGTTATGGATTTGCCTTTCCACACTTCTGCAGAGGAATTTCTCACAGGTTCATGGCCTCACTTGTAAGTGCTGTGATGTATTTGAGATTAGGATCATTAGTTCGTGAATCACTGAAGTCAGAAGTTTTTAACAGTCGTTCAACTCAACTCTCTCCACCCAACTCTCTCTGTGCCTTTGCCAACAGTTTCTGTTTATGCTCATCAGTGCTTGGGTAGAAGCGCCTTCAGAGAGTGATGGGTGGTCCTGCCAGGCTGAGCAGTTTTGAAACATCAAGACAGTGAAGGCTAAAGTAGAAAAAATGCTTGTAAATCACTGTGATTGAGAGAATTATTTAGATTTACGTTAATCCAGTGCTTCATTTGCCGTAGCAAATCTGTATTTGTAAATCGTTCACAAGCCACACAGAAGAGAAAGATCAAACACTGATCTAATTGTCTCCTGTTTATATCTTCTTTTTTTCCCCCCACAAACACCTAACACAGACACTGATTGATCACCTACGTAGTAATTAAAAGCCGGCTTTGAAACAATGTCTGTCAGTGTTGTTCCTGTAAATGAAGCGCTGTCTTTTCGTTCCCTAAGGGGATTTGGAAGAAGGAATGGAAGTCAGTGCTTGTTCTGATGGGCAGGAGATGGCTGCCATTAACACCTATCTCAGCATCAATGGAGAAAGGCGGGAAAACACGGGACAAGTGACTCTAGCAGCTGCTAATGGAAGCTTGAGTTTTCTGGCTCATGGATGTGGGGATCCAGTTCTTAAGGCTGAGGTGAGACCCTTGAGTGGCTGTTAACTGCCATGTGGTTTTCCCGGAATATTGTTTAATTTTGTTAATTTACTGGAACATCTTCCTCGTAGGATTCAGGTGTGAGTTTTGGTGAGTAGCCAGGCAAAATTATATGATTTTATAAACTCATAATAACGTTGATTTCACGTTGATGTGAAAAGTTATCATGGTGAGAATTAAAAAGTTCGGCCATACCCAGAGACAGAAAATATGGGTCCCTCTCCTGAAGGGTGAGTCCTCTGAGGAGGGTAAGTAAATAAAGTGAGAGCAGCAGTAACTGCTCAGTGTGTTGGTTACAAAATTAAGATTAGTATTCCTGACTGTGCTTTTACTTCTAATAGGGTTTCACCTAGTCTCTGCTTGGAGGAGGCTTTTTGAATTTTCATCGTTAGACCTTCTGTTCCCATGTCTATCCACTGAATGAGGCAGAAGTAATTCCCCCTGAGAAATGGGAAGCCACTGTGGAAATTTGCTGGCATTTAAACTAGTACAAACTTTGAGTGATTTGGACCCAGCACAAGCAGGTTTAAGTCATAAATTCAAGGTTTTTATTAATCTTCTCACAGTACAAGCTTAATGAAATTGGGAGTCTTTTGAAAGCCAAACTGACAGAAAAGATAAAGAAGTTTGATGGATACATGTGGAGATTCAGGAGATCAGTAAGTATCTGTACATATCTGTGAAAACACCATGAGGTGTTCAGGCAGTGTTAATTAAAATCATTACATTGCCTGCAGTTGTTTTGTTTTGCTCAAACATTTAAATGATTACTCCTGTGCTGACAGATAAAAAACATATTTCATGTAGAGATCTTGTATCTCTGCACCCACACCGAGGAGTCAGAATTGCCTCACAATGGAGTCAAAGCTTTGCATGAGATCAGTGTGTATTTTGATATTGCTTGTGATTCGGGAACCACTGTAGGTGCAGCAAGTTGGTTTCCTGTCTGAAGCAGCTGGCTGGCCTTCCATAGCCTTGCAGAAGGCAGCAGGATTCCTGCTTAGTGGGGGCAGAGCTGTAGCCCAGGCGTGGAAGCAAAGCGGAATCGGGCAGATCCTGAGGAGCAAGGTCCCGCTTTATCTGGATAAAGTTCAAGGCATTGTCCAGCAAATGCGGAACGAATTGCAAAGTAAGTAAAACTGTGCAAAGTGAGGAGAATAAGGACAATGTCAGTGCAGGGCAAACCAAACGACTACAAACTATAAAATATGCTGACAGCATAAAGGTTTCTATTTTGATCCAGCAAAAAGTGCTGACCTTGGCTCTTAGTGTACAGAGTGGGAGCCTTGATGCAATAAGCCCTAAGTAAGCTCTCTGTGAGCACCTTTCTAATGAAATCAGTGATGAGACATTCTCTGCGTCACAGGAGGCTGAGTTCAGATGAGAACAGAGCCCTAATTCCTAAGCTGAAGTATTTCTGCTAACAACTCCCTGGCAAGCCTTTCCTCCCAAAGGGCTGTTTGTATCCATCCTTGAGTTTTGAATGCTTGTACTAATCGGATTTCACTTGATCCGTTTGTTCCAAGCCTATCCAGTAGTCTCTAATTCACTGTTCAGCTGGACTGTGGCTCATCCTGAAACCTTTGAGTTTCAGGTGTGAGTTCTCACAAGAGTAAAACCTCACTTTGGGCCACTTACCTCTAAGCTCTTCCCACTCAAAAGTTGGATTTAGTTGACATACCATGTTTGAAATCAGTTGTGACCAAACTGTCCTGTTACTAATCAGATGTAGTTTGTGCAGTACACTCTGATGGTGGCATACTGCAAAGCACTACTCACATCTTTGGGCAGCAGCAGTGTATTTATAAGGGGCTCGAGGTTAGAGCTAAATGCCTCTTTCAGTTTTCCCTAACACTGTGTCCACACACAGAGCTGTGCAATGTGCCCAAACTGCCATGAAAACAAAGCTGCCTCTTCCTGTTTTGTGTGTTCCCCCTTCCCTTACCTGGAAGTTGTGAGGAAACAAGCAAACAAACAAACAAACAACCACTTTGCACCACACCAGCTAAGGTTTGTTTCATTAATGTGTTTGCTTCAGAGCCACTAGCAACTTTGAAGGATGCCTACTATGATGTAACCTTGAAGCCACTGGATGAGGTCTGGAAAGAGAAGACAGAAGAGTACATGAAGAAAATCCAGGCTTTTTTACCCAATATTGTAAAAGATGCATGGCTCATGGAACCAATCCAGCTGGCATTAAAGGTTGTGAAAGCAGCTTTGGATACGGTTGGTATAACTCAGTTCTCAATTTTTAGTGGTTTGTAAGGCAAGGCCTACAGCTTTAAGTCTCAGCTTTGAACTATGGATACACAGAAATGATTAACTATTTTGTTTAGGGAAATAGTGCAGTTATCTTTACACATAACAAACCTGTGCACAGCTAACCTACTGTTCTTGCAGTATGTGTCGTGCCTTGAAAGCAGTACTTTTCCAGCTAGAGGAGAGATTGTTTCACTAGTTCTGGTTGAAAGCACAGCAGCAGACACCTGTCATTCATGTAGCTTTTACTTTTCTTCCATAGAGGATGAATTGCGATTCCAGCAAACAATGTACAGATTTGGGCTCTTTTAGTTGAAATGAGGAGCATAAAATATATCATGCCAATTTATATTAACAAAGATACCAATCCTTTGCAAGCTATTGAAGTGCATTAACTCAGTGAAGTATTGGTATACTTTAAGTAATGTTATTTAGGAAGAACATATTTCTGTCCATCATTTGTTGCTGTTGTGAGTAGAGCCTGCCCTCTGGATATTAACCTCTAAATGACAGGCAAGTGACAAATACAAGAGAGACTTCAGTGCTATTTCAGTGACTGTCCATTTAAAACTGACTGTTGATTTAGCAAGTACTGGCCCTGCCCTGAAGCCATCCTGAAGCTGGTTTTGTAATCTCCTCTTCTGACTCTCCAACAGACCACACAGCAGATGTTCAGGTGGGCAGAGGCCACGTTTTCCAGAGCTGTGAGGAAGATCCGGAAGCCCTTGCTCAACCTGTACAGTTTTTCAGCCAGGTAACTGGTGTTCCTGCAGGATCCCTGCTGCTGGGTGCTGTTCTAAATGGATATGTGCTTACTTAGTCTTCCTATCAGTTTGCAGGCTGAGGGTTCTGGACAGACACCCAGCTCCTTCTGCTTTGGGCACAAGACACCCTAATATTCATTTCTGTTGGCTGTCAGACCTGACTGCCTTTCAACAGGAGCTACTGGGCAGCAAACAGAATAGTGATAACTGATAACTGGCCTTTTATGGCCTTGGGCAGTGCAGCTGTTGGCCAGTGTGGGGCTGTTCTAACCAGACTACAGTTCTTATGAATATTTCACTTCCACATTTCTTATAATAAACCAACAGCATGTCCTCAGCTGAGCAGGGCTCCTGCCCGTTTTGTTTGCATTCCACAGGAACTGTTCCGTGGCAGTAAAACTGCCAGTACTGCCCAAAGGAGACCACTCCGTACAGCTGGCAAATGTTCCTACTTATCTCGTTGGAGAGAAAATAATGAGGCCTCTGCAAGACCTCTACAAAATCAACATCCTTGCGGAGTATTATAGATTCAAACGGAGGATGGTGGAGAGTCCCTTCGAATGTAAGCCCTTTGTAACTGGGTCTATTTCCACTTGGTGCTATATTTGAAAAATCATATTTGGAATAGTACTTTACTATGGATGGTTGCTAATTAATAATTTTCCATCAACTTTATATAGTCTTTCCTGTAAGACAGTAACGGTATGTAAAAGAGCAACACTCTGGGCATAAAGTGACACTCCTCTGCTTAATATTCATGCAAATTTTCCAACTCTTCACACTTCATACTCTTGAGACTAGAAATCAGCAGGGGCTATTTATCTGTCTTATCCACATGCCTTTGTGAGTTGATACCATGGTTCAATGCCAGTCATACCCATGGTTGTGTCCTGGCACAGAGGCTTTGAAACCAGTCATCTCACCTCTCTTGACTCTAGGATGGAAAAGCTCAGCCCTACCAAAACTTCAGAGACAGTATTGCCTGTAAAAGCATTGCTAAATGCTAAAAAACTGCATTAACAATCCCAACTGTCCCTTAGAGAGAATGGCTTTTCCAGAAAGAGCCATTTTTAATGGTTTCCTGCCACTAGACTGACAGGCACAAAGTCGGTCCTAGTGACCAAATAATCTAAGTGATATATCAGCAGGGACTGCAGCTCTGTTTGCTGCTCTGGTTTGGAAGGGAAGTTTCTGGAGAGAGTTAATATTCTTGCTGTTTTCTGCATAAGAATGTATGAAGTGTAAGGTATATGTGTGTGCTTACAAAACGCAAGTTTACAAGTAGCAGGACAATAAACCAAAATGAGCTCTGAATCCCAATTCATGTTTCTCAAAGTTTCAGGACACCCAGGTAAATCTATAATGAAAAATAAATCATTAAATTGCTTTGTTTCTGGTAAAATTTTTGTTGCAGAGTAACTGCAGTGTAACTAACTAAAATGTAAATGTAGTAATGTCAATGTAATAATAACTTGAGAAATTATTTTAAGAGCATGCCAACCAGAAGCTGTGTGTTGCAGTATGCACAGCACTCACTGCTCTGTGGGAAACTCACTGATGTTTCTTCTGAAATCTCTAGATCATGCTCTGTTAGTGGGGACCAAGCATCTTGTGACTTTTGATGGAAAAATTTATGACTTGGCATCAAAGTGCAGTGTACTTCTTGCCAAGGATTTCGTCCACAATGCTTTCACTGTAATACTAAGTGAGGAAACCAGTAACTCAAGATCACTGTATGTGGAGATGAATCAGACTGTGATCAGTATCCACCCAAGACTGAAGGTAGGAGGAGCAAGTCAAACATTCTTCATTTTCACAGCAGAAATTATCTTAAAATACCAACAACAAAAAAAGCTTTCAAAATATTAATGCTCAAAGCACAGATCAGAACAGCTCTCAGACTAGTGCTTTAAAGTAACCACTTCTTAATCAGAAAATACCTCTCCAAAACAAAGCCAGTTTAATGCAAGGGCTGCCTTTTTACTCCCTGCATACTAAAGGAAATTTTCAGTGTTTTTCTTAGATCATGTCAGAGGATGGTAGCGTTAGAGAGGTCAAACCGGACCTGTAGCCTTGGAGGCTTTGTGCTGTCTGCTCTTCTGGAAGTTTAACACAGCTGCCTGATTTCGGGCTAAGTTGGCCCCACCTGAGCTTGCCTGTTATTGAACTTTAACAGTGACAGATTTGAAACCGCATTTTCATTTTAAAACAGATCTCCAAGATGTTCTCCTTTACGGAAGAGAAGTGCCAAGTACTGGATAAATCACTTGAAAAGAATACCACTAATTCAAGGAGAGAAACCAACAAAATAGAAATATCTAATCAGAAAGGAGTTTCTCTATCCTGTGACTTTCAGTATGATCTCTGTACTGTCACTCTGGCTGGGTGGTACCATGGTGAGTACCAATTATACAGCCTTTGTCAGCTGTTAGTCATTTTTTTTATCTCTCTAAATTATTATCACCTGTAGTACCAGCATCTGGGTTGTCTTTCACTTGTTTTTCCCCTCTTCATTTATGCACATTCTGGAAATGGCCCTAGGCATTCCCAGTAATTGCCAAATCATTCCAGTGGTTAGTAAGTGGTTATGGATTACTGATGATTCATTGTTATAAAGCAGACAAATGTAATGCAGTCAGCCCAGCCCCAAACCCTGGTTGAGAATCACTGCTTTAGAGCTGGCTTAGCTTGTCAGACCTGCAAGACAATTACAGAGGGAGGCCTAAAACCTTACAGGAATGCATTCCTATCCATGTGCCCCACACTATTCTAAAACTCACACTCCCAAGATTAGCAGAGGATAGATCTGATGCCTTGATGTGGTCAGGAGAAACACATGACCAGCTAAGACAAGAGATGGCAATGCAGGCTGGAACAAACCCAGAGTGGCTATCTGGACATACCTTCTCTTTTCCATGTTGGAGCTGAGCACTCCTGTAAGAATAACTGGAGCTCAGAGACAGCTTCTGTAACTTTCCTGCATCTGCTCCTGACAACTACTATTTTAACCCATTTCAATTTCTTCCCAGGTATCTCAGCTGGGCTTTTTGGTACCAATGATAATGAAGCTGGAAATGAATGGATGCTTCCTAATGGTTCCTTCACTGACAACGTGCAAGAGTTCACACAGAGCTGGCAGGTAAGGAGCTCAAGGGCTTCTTTGTGCAGGGCACCAGGGGTGCTGAGCACAAAGGACAGCATTGTACTCAGTAGTGTACTCAGCTGTGCTGGTCAAATGGAGCTTGAAAAAATCCTTTCTGACCAAAAGTTTTAGCTCAACTCTATATAATACAGAAAGTGAAAGCAGAGTCAGGTTAAATCTGGCCAGGTATTTAAGCCTGAGATAAAAGCACTGGTCACTGCACTGCTGGAGTCACCTCACCCTGAACTGTGAGCTCTGGCTGGCAACTCGCTCCCAGGAGACTGACTTTCCTTCCAGCAAAGTTCCAGTGCCACAAGGCCAGGGCTGCACAACAGCAGGAGGCAAAGGAGGAGCCTGCAAGGTCTGGCTCCTGCAGGATGAGGGTTATCACAGATTAAACTGCTAGTTCATTTTTCTTAATAACTAAAAATCACTAGAATTTACACTTACTTAAAGAACTTTTTGGTTGGTTTGGGGTTTTTTGTTTGTTTTCATTTTTTGTTTGTTTGGTGCTTTTTCTTTGATTTGGAGTCTTTTTTAAAGACTTCTTTATCTATGAATAACCCAGCAAGGATAGCAAGATTTTTTTTTCTGCATTAAAAAGATCTAGTAAAAGCACATCTTTGACCTGTCAGATCTACATAACAAGAGAACTAGCCAACTGCCTGCTGTGTCAGTGAATAACAGAATCAAGAGAAAAAGGAAACAATGTGTAGTCTGTAATATCAGTTATGTCTCAATATTATTGAACAATAAACATTAGAGCAGTGTACTGAGCTGCCCATATCTTCCTTTAAACCAGCTCACACTGGAAATCTGAAGAATTCATCCTAACCCGATGTATTAAAAAACAAAGTCCCCCAACTTCAGTAATTCTGCTTTCCCAGGTGAACAAGTGCAGTCTTGTACCGAAGAAAGAGAAGTCATGTCCAATTACAGGCAAGCAAAACATCTGCAAAGTGTTTTTTGAAGAACCACATTCACTTCTTAGGAACTGCTTCAAAGTTGTAAGTAGAACTTCAACCGTGAAGGACTGTCTGAATCACCCAAGTGTCATTCTTCAAAGGAGGACACATAACCCTTGCAAGGATGTAGAAGTTTAGTCACAGATTACTTTAGAATAGAACAGCAATCCAGACAGAAAAAAAAAAAAAGCTGTTATTATCACCATACATATAAATTGAGGTCCTTGACATCCACGGAGTAGAGGCATGATTGCACCACTCTTTAGGATACAGGTCTAAAATCTGGAAATAGAAATAACCCCCTCAATGTTAGGAAGAGAATAAAGGTTTATGAATGGCCCTAATGAGGCAGCCGGAGGGAGACCCACATCAAACCTTTGGGTCCAGCTGCAGGTGCCCCCTGCTGCCCTAAACAATCCCTTTGTTTTAAGGTGGACCCCAAGCCCTTCTACACCATGTGTACACAGGACACCTGCGAGTCCCCGGCCCCGGGGGCTGCCTGCAGCTCAGCAGCAGCTTTTGTTCATCTGTGCAACCGGAATTTTGTCCCTGTGGAAATCCCTCCACAGTGGTGAGTTTCATTTCTTTTCCCTCCTGAATATTCTGACTGCATTGCTCTAGTACTTACATGTCTGTAATTCAAGAATGCATGAGAAAATAAAACTAATGAATCTGACTGTGGGTATGAGCAAAACTGAGTGTTCCTGGAAACAGTTGTCTTGCTGCTTGGCTATCTCCCCTTCCTGCTGTTCCCTCACCAGCACACCACAGCCCACCCACTTCACACTCTTATATAAACTTCTACACAGGAATATGAAATACAGAGACAAATTTTGTTAAATAGCCAGTTGAAAACAGAGTTTTAGAACGGCTGGGTAGTTGAATGATTGAAGTCAGCTAGTGCTGCTGGTTTACATGATCCCATTTCTGAAGAAAGGGATTGGAATGAAGATGGATCACAAGCTCAGTTAACAATAACATGCTATTAAAGCATGCTCTTAAACAAGCAAAGTACACAGGGGATGTATACACGAATAAACATATTTAAGACAAGAAATAATTCTTTTCTTTTCATCTTTTGTATCCAGTTTTGGACACCATGTTTTACTTAAACTGTGAACCAATTGAGAACAGTCATGGGGAAAAAATTGAAGGGCTGAGGCTTAACATGAATTAAGTCTCTAAATATGTAAACACACTAAAGAGAAGGAAGTGTAACAGACCAAACTACAGTAAGGGAGAGTTGGTTTGGCACAGTGAAAGAGTCTGTCGTGGCCAGTCCAGTCACGCACAGTAACCGACAGCCAGCCATGGCCAAAGAACCAAACAGAAAGTGTCTGTCTGGAGTAGCCACCTCTGCACCACTTCCTAGAAATTCACTCCTGTCAAGGATCTTCCACTGAATAGCTGAACCAGCCAGAGCCCATAAACTTCGGACATAATGCTGCTCTTTCCCTCCTAAACATGAATTTATCAAACGTGAAAGAATCCTACATCTTTCTTTTAGTTTAGTGTATCCAAGATAAAACTGTATCTAAAATGCTGGAGTACTTTCCCCACAGCTTGTTGATGTCATAAATGTATTTGATGCTATTTTTCCCTTTTCATAGATTCTTGTAATTCAGTGTAATAACAAGTGGCATTACATGTTACTTGTACTTACTAACTACTTACCTGGATTTCATCTCTTCTTCATTTCAGCTTGAGCCTGTTCTGAATGGCACACACCAGCCCTGGAGATGGAAGAACCCTTTCAGCACCCAAAAATAGAAATTATTTTAGGTAGACAAAGCTAGAGGCAGGAGCAGGAGAACAGTAGCAGTGCAAATCCATTAGTGTTAGACAATGAAGCACATATAGTATAAAAGGAAAGCTTTCCACCAGAACCCCTGAGGGCAAGAGGAATTATTTCAGTATACTGACCAGAAACTATAATCAACCAAAGGAAATTGAACATAATAGTATCAATTACTTTAAAAGAATTCTCCCATTCAGTGGCAAAATTGTGTCTCCACAAGCCTTCAACCATAGCATAAATACAATTAAAAGCTGACAAAAGGTCTCTTCCAGCTCAGATTAGTACAAGTGGAATACTTTGTGAAAGCAGCATTATCAGCTTTGAGTCAGCAGAGACGCTGACTTCTTTTTTCTCCAGAAATGAAACTCTGCTGTTCAGCGGTTCTGGACAAAGTTATCTTTTTTTTTTTTGTTCAAGGGAAGTGCTCCAACACACGAGAGCTACAGTAGAAATAAGATGGTTAAATAATTGAAAGCACTTGATAATGTTCTCATTTTTATGCTGGCTGATTTTTCCCTTACTAACGTGTACACTGTTAAATGAGAAACACCCTTCTGTGTACCAGTTTCACGTTCTCCCTTTGTGCCTTTAGAAGCCATTTCTCAGAAACCAGTTGATGTGTTTGGAAAGGGTGATTGATATCTATCCAACCCATAAAGTAGCCTTAAGGTGCTATAGCTGTTGTGTGAAAACGTCTATCTGTTAAATCCTTTTCTATATTTTAAGTCTATTGATTAAAGAGATTAATTTCTCCATCTGTAATTTACCTTTCTCCATCTGTACCTGGAAGGCAGCTATTCCTCAGCAAAAGGTTAACACTGCAAAATCCTTCCCATGCCTTTGCATAACAAGCAAACATTGAAATAACGGTGTTCTGAACTAGGAGATAATGCTAATAAACATTTGACTTCCTTATTATTATGCTGGAGTACGTTTTTATTGGTTATTCATAAGAATATAAACCTGTACTGATCTACAGAGCTGGAACTGGCTCACAGACAAAGCCAGCACGGGCCTCTGTTACCTCGTGGATGCTGCTTTCAGCCACATTCTCTTCCTGAACATTGAACTCCCTAGTGTGACACACATTCTCACTAAAACATGATCCCCACACTAGTCAGGAAAAAACTCTGCACTTGTTGGGATTTCCACACACATCAGATGCTGCTTCATAAAACATGGTAGAAATCAAGTCTTCCTCTGTAGTAATTTTATAACTGCACCCTTACAGAGGTGTTTTGTAATGAAGCCAAAGTTGTATGAAATATTTCTGAAAGTTAAAGAGTATTTATATCAGTTAGTGATTCAAAAAAACGCATCATCTTCTCCCCAGTCACTGAATGTCATTTCACTCCCCAGCTAAGCACACCTGAGCACCTTTGAAAAAATCCTGAGGTGACAGTTGCAAGAACAAAGTAAAATGTAAGCAGGTAGAGGAAAAGATTCAGAAAAGCTCAGTCAGCAATAAACAGAAGTTTAACTAAATGTTAACTGCAGACAGCAGCACTGAGCTGGATGCAGACAACAGGTCTCCTAAAAGCTGCATGTAACTTATCACCGGTGATAAAGACGCCATTTCACCCCCAATAACTACAGCCATTGCCCTCAGCTGTTGCTGGTTAGCTCTGAGCTGTTCCCAGGTTATGCCTTTCATGTCCAGATCCGATCCAGCCCTACCTAAATACAATCCAATCCTACATCAACACAACTTTTCAAATGCATTCAGTAAATACAAATCACTGCCAGATGGCCAGCCACGTTTAATTCTGTAAATTCACAGACACTAGCAAGGGTGCAGTAGTTTTAACTGTTAATTTTCAGGGTTTTTGCTGTTTATTTCCAGGGTTTTCTTGCCTGGTTAGAAAGCACGGCAAGGTGAACATATTTGGAACACGCTTCAGATTCCTTGCATAAGAAGCATTCAGATGGAAAACTATCATCAGCCAGAACAGTTGCCAGTCAACATGCTGACCACATGGATCATTTCTAAAAGGCTACAGCATTCCACAAGTGGATTTTTTTTCCCCAGGATTAAAAACAGTAAATAAACCCAGACTATCAAAACTCTGTCTATTTTGGTATTACGTGAGCAGAGTCTCAGAGCACAGGACTTCCATTATCCTACTGTCTCTGATGTGGTCTCATTTGGAATACCAAACCCAAGGCTGGGAATTGCACTCTGAAATCCAGTCCTTCATCCTCAAAGATCTGAAATCTTTAAAGAGACTATTTAATTTCCACATGCTTTGAAAACATAACCTCGCAATTAAAAAATGTAGTTACCATCACCTGGTTCTCAAATTGTACTGTTCAATCAGAAATCACCTTCCCTTCTGACACATATTCCCAATTAACACACCTATATTCCTGGACAACACAGTCCCAAACCACAAAGCTATTCCACACAGATAATGCAATATATTCTTCAGGATTCAAGCTCTCTTTAGACAAAAGGGAAAATAAATAGTAGTAACATTTCTTCTTTTTAAAGGTGTTTTGATGTCATACTTTTGTGTTCTCCCACACAAGGAAGAAAGAAAGATAAAAATAAAATATATTTTATAATGATTTAAACAGCTAAAAATAGCATTGGAACAAGAAACCTTCAAAAAGAAAAATACACTTAGGGGCAGAAAGCTTGTTTCATAAGGTGGTAAATGTATTTGCATCTTGGAGAACCTATTCCAGGGAATCCTGCATCATGCTTTTTCAGTTTATTTCACTTCATTGGAACACAGGGGTCATTACCGTACCACTTTCAACATTTCAGAAACCAGAGAGGTTTTTAAGTACAAGATTCTGCTTTATGGTTACCAAGAGACATGTCTTACAAGTGGAGTTTACTGACGTGGTCATTACTGAAAGAGAAAATACAGGCAAAGATGTTATTTCCAACCACAATCTAAACAGACTGAAACACATTTTGCCTTCGTTCCAGGTATTGAGTTCACCCTGGTAACATGAGTTCTGTGCAGCCCTTGCTGCCAAGAACACCCAGCCTGCGGTAGGAATGACTCCCTCAACACATGCTCCCAGGAACAGCAACTAACACAGAAACATGGAGCATTCCTAACAGCATGGACATCTTATTCAGAACACCCAACAGGTGTTTCTCAAATCTGTTGGTGTAAAAAGAGACAGTGGAAGACATGAACATTGCAGTTATTAACAGATAAGCGCTGATCCCTACACTTGACTCCGAGTCCGACTTCTCACTTTTGTTTACTCCAAGAGTAACTGGTGGTTGGTTGAAACCACAAACACACAGAATAGTCTGACACCAAGACAGTACATTTCCAGTTATTTTAGGCAGAAAAACAGTATCTAGGGGATGACTCTCTGCAAATCCTCCACTTCAAGGCTCCACATATCCTTATGCATGGGGTTTTCGGAGAGATCCGTCATCTTTATTGCTCGAAGAACAGGCTCAGGACTGCAGGACCGCACCACACCCATCACCATTACATATTTCCCTAAAAAAACAAGCAAGCGTGAAATTAAATTAACCTTTGTATATTCATTTTAATTCATAATGCAAATTATTTAAAGCCAATTAAACACTGTGAATCGAAGCTGCTGATACTTGCAAGAAAACTCGAGGCATGAAGACTGTTTAGAACTGAATTTCAGGGAAAAAAAGCCTTCATTATTTACAGCAGATTTCACTAGACTTTCACTTACAAGAGCCAAACAAGCACACAATTTGTCCCTCTAGTGCGTAAGTGGGGGGAGGGCAATTGAGAACACTGAAAATTTAGGCCAAGTGCCTGTTTTGCGCCATAACTCCTGCAGCGCCGCAGTCCAACGCTTCTCCAGTGGATCGGAGGCTACTTGTGAGGGGCAGGAGGAGGAAAACTAGGGGGGAAAAATATTCCTATCCCTGTTCCTGTGCTCCCGCGTGGGGAGCGACACCTCCCAAGGGCCGGGACGGGCCGGGATGTGCCGAGCTCCGCCGGAGCAGGCCCGGGCAGGGAAAGCGCCGCTCCGCGGGGTCCCGCCGCCCCCGGTACCTGCGCTGAGGCACGGCCGGCCCTGCGGCACCTGCTCCACGCCCAGCACGGTGAAGGCGCCGCTGGGGTCCCGCAGCCGGGCCGAGCCGCCGAGGGCGCCGCGCTGCACCTCCAGCACCGTGCCCTGCATCCACACGGCCCGCAGCGCCAGCGGCGCCCGGCCCGCCCGGCACAGCAGCCACGTCCCGCCCGCGCCCCGCTCCGCCCGCCGCAGCTGGGCCGACAGCACCTTCACCGGCGGGCCCGCCGCCTCCCCGGCCATGCTGCGGCCGCGGCCGAGGGCGGGAAGGGCGGGAAGGGCGGGCGGAGCGCAGGGCCCGCCCCGGCGGCGCCTCAGGGGCGGCCGGAGCGCTGCGCTAACGAGGCTCCGGGGCCGCAGGTGTGGGAGCGGTGCTGTCAGCACACACCGCGCTGTGCCGGGACTGGGGCACCTGAGCTTGTGGCCCCAGGTGGTTCTCATTGACCAACAGCGGCCGCACCGAGCCGGCACCCCCACACCGGGATGGGGCACCCGGCGCCTGGCTGGTCCTCGCTTTGCCTGATTCGGCTCAGGATCGGCTCCTTAACGTGCAAAAAACTAACGTAAAAGTCTGACTGAGTGGTGTGATACCGTTCGCTGTGACTCAGCCCCGCCCTGCAGCCCCCGCTCTGCTCTTTGCCCCCGGCCGGTGTGAGCCCTCCCGAGCCGTCCCGGGGGTTTTGTCGCCGCTCGATGTTTACTGCAGAGTTGATGGAGCTCCTCTGGTTTCATGAGAAAACAGGAAAATGTCCTGATTTTCCCAGGGATGCTCTCGGGATAATTATTATTGTATACTTACTCCACCTATGTGGAAATCTGGAGTGTAATGCACTGAAAGTATGAGGGGTTTTAAGATGGGAGACTTTAATTCCAAGGCCTTTAAGAATTTATTTGCTGTCTGTTTATATTACAGACAGGATAATTCGCTTTGCCGCAGGCTGAAATCCTTGAAATGTTATGGTTTCTCTTGGGTGGGTGGGTGGGTGGGTTGACATTTTCTTTAGAAAATAAGCCAAGAAATAAGCTAATGCAAAAACAGGAGGATGGAACAGAAAAAAGAATCGGGAAAACCAAGGGGATGGATTAATCAGTGTTACAAGTCCTGTTACCAACAAAAGTGCAGAATGGGTAAAAATGCACAGAGAACTGACTTGTCTGCAATCATTCTTCTTTAAAAGAGCTTTTGTTCTTCACTAAAATAGCCAGTTTAAAAAATCTGGTTTTATTTTGAGTAGCAAAATACATCAAAACCCTTTTTTTCTACTCACCCATGATGTTGTGAATTATTAATTCGTATATCCTTTTTCCAGAGATATTTTCTGTTTAGAGACATTCTGTAAATGGGACTTTATTCTTTTTATAGTGTAAGGAAGCAGTTAATTTTTTGTTACCACTTACAGTAAAGATAAAAGATAATATTGGTAATAACAATAAAAACACTGACATCTAAGCACAATACAGAACCATGTAATCTGGCAATCAAATCATATGGCTTACAGGAATAGAAAGACATTAGATGGTTACTGTATATGAATGCAAAATTTGAGCAAGGCTCATAGGAAAAGAATATTTGTAATTTATGTCCCTGAGCTGCAGTCACTTGACAGCATCAATATTTAGTTTCACATAAAAAAAAATTAATTGTGCCAAATATTGATAAAAGTATTGTATTCCTATTTGTTACTGCATAACAGGAGGGTCTAATGCTTATTAGGCCATTAAATCTACAGATGAAGGCAAGACCCCTACAAGAGTGTAATCTTCAGGGGAGACTAAAAGGTCCCTTTTAAAGGATTTGCCTTCTAGAAACTGTGTTATAAGAAGAGCAGAAGTGCTGGCAATCTGCATCAAGAAATGGATTTGCTTTCCCAAACCAGAAAATCCTTGTCTTTCAGTAAAATGCAAAGTTGCACTGAATTATCTGCAAAGCTCTTACCAAAGAACTGTCTCAGCCAAGCACAGAGACACATTCTGAAGCTGCAAGGGAAGTCTGATGCCTCAACAGACTGGTTTCTGGAGGTGACCCCACAGTGATAATCCTCTGATTTAAGGGGAGC